AAATTGGCTCGATGATTTTCTACCATTCTCTGTATTTATATTTTTTCCTGTGAATATTTAAAGTATTTTGTTGTTTCAGTTTCAGCTGCCAGTACTTTATGACACTTCTGTTGATTCTGATGGATATTAAGTGATTTTTAATATTAAATAACAGTTCATATTGGAATGTATATCCTCAATCAATACATGCATTATACAAGTTAGGTAATATAGATCATAGCTTATTGTAAACCTGTATTTGTTTTGGCAATCGTGTGCAGCCTCATCTTACTATCATGTGTGGGAAGAGAAGATACTTTGTTACCTGTTACACTAAACCTTTTGCTGTGTAAAGCTAGTCTGTTACAAGGAAATTGAGTTTATTTGATCAAATGCTGTTGGTTCACATCAGCAAGTTCTCAGTGCAAAATTCCCTGCTAAGCTATAAGGAAGAAACAATGGGAAAATAGACTAACTCTGGAAATAAATGTTTTATCTCAGGTTATCGTGTATATGTTCTGGCCCTTATCACGTTCAAACATTTAAATCTTTACTCTTTTTTTTATCATATAAACATAAAAATGAAATAGAAAACTTTGTAAAACAAAAACTAACCTGACCTCCAAACCTTTGATATGTGCAAATGATCAAAAACCCTAAAATGTGTTGATCCCTGTTGTAAAGCTTTATTTACTTAAAGCTGTGTTTCCTATTATGTCCATGAGTCCATGTTGATCTACGTGAACTCAACATAAATTAAATTATAAACATTTACTTGCATTTGCGTGACATTATGACAGTTTTAAACTAAGGGAAATATAAATAAGTAGCTTTGCTCTGGGACTTGCGTTTCCTCAGTGTGTTCTGGTTCCTCCTCAGGTTTTGATCAGCTTTTAGCAGATATTCCTTTTAAGTATAAAACTCCTCAGATGAGTGAATTAAAAAGAAACTGTTATCATCCAAAACTTAAGGTTCACAAACCAACTGTTCTAAGACACTCATAGACATTTAATCTATTTTACCTTTTAATTTGACTTTTTTGAGGGAAATGTTTATCTACTTCTTTATTTCGTATTTATACTGCATAGCACCGAGGTTGTTGTTGTTTTAAATTGAGTGCAGAAATAAAGATAAATGAGGACATAGTATTTCAATTATCAAACTGCAAAATTGCCATATGTTCTGGGAACTGCTCCTCACTATTTTATTCTAATTTTACTAGGTACAATAGTCTCCATTTTATAATTTTCTCTAACTCTGACTCTTTTAATGCTACAACAAGGCTAAGTTTCAGAAAGAGAAGCTTGTGTAGGCTACATTTCAGTGTTTGAATGAAGAGAGACTCTGAAATTTAGGAACTGTCTAATAACAAAATTTAAAGTCGTTAAGTTGATGAAAGCAATAATTGTTTTGCTCTCTGACCATCAATGATTTAAGCCATCTTAACAACCTGAACATGCTGGGTTTTTTTAAACCTGTAATAGTATTTCTGAAAATACTTCCTTTGTTATTACTGCAGATCACAAAATCTGTTGCTTCAAAAGAATTGGTCATTTTCTGGGAGGTTTCAAATTATATTTTCCTCCAGAGCAGGTACTCATCTTTAAAACCTGAAGTGAGACTCCTCAATGGATACAGATTAACGTGAAAAAGGTAGAGCCATGTCTAGATTGGTTGGACTGTAGAGGGAGAGGGGGCCACTTTCTGTTGAGTCAGAACTTTGCTTTCATTACTTCTTTGCGCATATGTTGGTTTTCTGGCATCGAGTTCATCAATAAACAAACTGATGTGATTGATTTGCCTCTCTGGGTTAATAGGTTATAACAGGTTAGAGAGAATGTAATGCGGTTCCTGGACTAACAGCCAAAGAAATCAATGCATTTTTGCTGCATCTATTGTGTAAAGTAGGGCTGGAGGGCAGCCAATATCTGTATTGTTAAGAGTAAAAATGTATGTATTTATAGTATAAATGTTAGGGTAGAAGTGAGGAAAGATTTTAACAAGTGTTTTTGTCTCGTTGCATGTTTCCTCGGTATCTGGCCGAGAATGGATTAAGTAGTGGTCAAATAATGGGGCCACTGCAGCCACAATGGTTCACCAGTGGCCCTTTTCCACTGGCTCTAATGGACCCAGCTCCACTCTGCTCAGTATGCTTTGTGAGCGTTTCCACTGGCCTTTCTCCAGCCTAGTATCTGCTTTTTTGGTCCCTGCGCTGTAGGGTCGGTCAGGGTCGACCAGGTACTATAATGTGATGGAAATCTACTGCTGTTCACTGATGCGTAGTCGGACGTAGGAGCAAAGAGTGAAGAAAAACAAAAGGTGCAAATTTCAAATTTGCTACAACACGGACCTGATGGAGTCCTACGAAGCTACAATCAAGCGGTGAACACTCACTCAGGACACCTATGTGTTTCCAGCATGTTAACCCCAACAAATGTACAATGCAAGTTGTCTGCACACTCAAAACACCCAGAGAATGGTCACACTCTGTCAAACTGAGAATCATATTATCTGGCTGCCAGAACATGTTGGCTTTAACAAAATGAAGAGCATCTACATGTTCAACGTTTGTTGGCATCACAGCAAACTTTCTAACATTTGTGAAAGAGAGATTTTACATCTCAGTGTCATTTGCAGTGAATGATATAAGCTTTCTGCTTTTCCTGAACATAGAAATTAAAACAATTGTTATCAGTTATATGATTGTCTTGAGCCTGACATTGCATAAAAAAGCTGCTGAGTTGGTCGATATAACCCTTTGGTTATTTAGAATAATTTTTGCTTGCTTATGTGTTCATAATGTTATGTTGCTTTGATTTATTTGGAGGCCACTTTTACTTTTCTTTCTATTATGAAAAATGTATTGTTCCTTTAGGGAATTATTGGAAATGAGACACATCCAGGCAGTAATGAATGCCCTCGATGGTAAATATTGACAGTAAATTTGGAAGCTTACATTCATTAGTGAATCAAGCTTGGCAAAAGGTTTAATGAAATTTAAGCTAACCAAGGAAATACTGTGGAGGTGTATTTGCAAATCTTTGCCAGGAATTTCTCTGCCTGAATGTGTGAGCTTGCATAAATGGAAACAAATTATTTTTGCAGAATTGTGGTACAGTGTAGAAGTACAAGGATTCTTTTCAGCATATAAACACATGAGGTTTCTCTAGCACACAATCAATTTAAAGCATAGTTTTGTTTTCCAAGCAAAACTATTTCGTTTATTTAATAGTATTTGTCAATTGTATATGTTGTCAGAATTCAAATAGTTTGGAAGAAGTTCTGGATCTGTTTATTATTCAATACATAAGTTTGTTAAAATGTATGTCAACTAAGAAAATAATGAGATTTCGAGCAACACTCAGTGTTTTCTAATTGTGCCGTTACTGAAAAGCGCTTTCCTCTTTCAGATATGATTTATTACACCCTGTCATCCTTTTGTTTGATTTCAGAATTAATAGTGATTTTCCAGTTGCTCTGGTTGTTTCTGAAAATAAACGCTTTGTGTTTTTTTGCATAAAAGTGAAATTGGCAGTGTATGTTGCAGACAAGGAAAGATAGCCAGGGGTAAAAAATATCAAGAGTTCATTAAGGCCCTTGCTGAGAAAAATAAAGTAGAAGCCTTTTATCAGCCTTCTGTTCGCCAGGCAATAAAACACACATCAGGCCCACCTGATTATTGGTAAATCATCCCAGGAACCTCTTCAAGGCATTATCCACGATATTATTCAGGACACACAAAGAGGTGTCATTCACACACAGACAAACACAACCTCAGTGCTCTTCCCACTCATGTGTACATTGGCTGCTAGAACGGTCTTTGTATCCCATCACCATAACAACTGCCTGAAAGCACATGCAAAAAAAAAGAAAAAGGAAACGAATTTCTCTCACTCAGTTTGACTCGGAGATGGTGAGCGTAGCAGTCGCTGGATCCTTACAGCATGTCAGTGTGCCGTGTGTGAGCAAGATGCGGGTTTGTACAGGCAAGCGGGCTGCGGACGACTTGGTGCAAATGAAAAGCGCCTTGTGAGTGTGAAATCTGGGAAGAGTCCGAGGAGGTAACATTTTAAAACTGGATCAGGCAGTTTATGATGGTGAGTGTCAGAAGGATGCTTCATTCTGTTTTCTGTTTTGCCTGCATATGCATGTGTATGTTTCTGAAGAGTGTGTTTAAGTGTGCCGTTCTACATTTCTTTAGTAAGTTGTAGCAAATCTACTTTGTACCTGTGTCCATATTATGTAATGACAAAAGCAAGAAAACCTCAAAAGAGTACAAAAGTGATCTAAGTTTTCTGTTAAACTTAGTTGGAATACTACTGATTTTGTCAAACTGCATCTCCATCATACTCATTGTGATGAAAGGTTCCTATTTTCTTTTAGGATTTCATTTAACTAGATTTTTATTTTTCTTTACTTCACAATTTTATCATGCATTTTTAACCTGTTTTTTTTATCTTTGAGATTGCATCATTGCTCACGGACTCTTTGCAGCTTCAATTTATTAATATTGAGTGGGTTTAGTCTTCTTTAAATAAAGTCCACATTTATTTTCAAGTATAAAAGAAAAATCATTTGCTGTGAATATGAATGTTCAGAACTATTTTTTTCACCATCCATATACATCACTGATGTTCATTCTAGCAGGTCTTTAAAAGATTATTATTATTTCTATTATTATTGTTATGTACAGTCAAAATGTGAAATAAGCTGGAGGATTTTATTTCCTCTTTTTTTTCCACAAGAAGGGAAAGAAAAAGATTCAGTGATCCTGTTCAGCCTTTACACTCCTCTATTTTTCGCTCGCTCCTATTATAGCTTACATATCTTCTGGTCCATTTGCTTGGCATGACAGAATAGAAATAAAACCTTCAAACACAGAAGGAAAGAGCAGTGGCAGTAGCTTTCATCTCTGGACTGCATTATTAAACATCTCTATCCACATGAGTCTGACTTCGCCCAATCACAACGATCTCTTCCCGTCTTCCCTTTAACCTTACTCCCTTGTCTCTCTCCATTAGGCAAACTTGAAGAAGTTTATGGAGTATGTGCAGCAGAGAAACAATGAAAAGGTCTCACGGTTTTTGGAAAAAGGCCTGGATCCTAACTTCCATGATCCAGACACAGGAGGTAAGAAACTCAATAGTTATGGACATACAGTAGATAGTTTTTCTCCTGTATGTAATCTACCTTCTTTTTTTTTCCATTGTACTTTCTACCTTTTGCATACTGTCCTCACCACAACTGACCATGTAAGGATTTTCTGAAATAAGCCTCGCGCTTGCGGGGAAAGCTGGTTTATTCTTCCTTCTAATCGTCTTATGTATATTCGGATGTTTGTCCCACAACAAAGGAGGTTGTTTCTCTGCTGGGTGACCTATAGTCCCACAGATGAGCTGCAAAGTGAGAGGAACATATGAATAGCTTAGTTTAACACCAACAGGAAGCTGCCATTTAGGTAGATAGGAGGGTGACAATTAACACAGCCAGGCAGTGATGCAAATGCAGAGTTACTGACAATTTAAATAGTTTTAATTATTATTTGTTAAACACTGACAGCTATAGCTCATTTTTCATCAGGAATGTGCAGCAGTATAACTGGAAAAATGTTAATTTTGAATACAGTTTGCTTACTCAGCCTTGGATCTCACAGAATGCCCACTAACGCTGGCAGCACAGTTGGAGGGATGTGCCGAGCTCATCAAAGTGCTTAAAAATGGAGGGGCACATCTGGACTTCCGAACAAAGGATGGCATTACTGCCCTGCACAAGGCTGTGCGCAGCAAGAACCACACAGCACTTATAGTAAGTACATTACGCAAAGGAAGTAGACGCACTGACTCCTGGTTTATGTCTGTGGTCCGATTGGTTGCCTCCAAGCTTTTCTTTTGGGAACCTATTTGTGAAGATGGGGATTGATAACCTGTTAGTGGAGGTGCTTGAGAAATGATGGTTGAGCAATTACTCAAAAAATGAGGCATAGGATGCCCTCTTTGAATGAACTGGCATAACTATCTGATGGCCTGGTATGTGTGAAGGGGTTTCATTATTTATATGTTGCTTTCTTGTTTCAGAAATGGTTGAACTGGAATGTTTTGCATTCACTTATATCCATTATCTAAACATGTAAAAATCAATTGTTCATGCAATGCACATGAAGCGTTGGCGCTGTTGGATAAAAGCTACAGCGCCCTGCAAAAGTATTTTTATGCTTGGACCCTTAAACAGCCTCACATTACATCACCGCTTGATGGATTTTTTTTTTTTTTTTTTGAGTTTGATATGCTTTTCCATAATAAGATGGAGTTTTTCAAGGGAAGGAAAATGAGATGAGGTTTAAGATGTTTGTCACAAAAAAACTGAAAAGTGTGCATGTGTATTTAGCTTCAAAGAACCACCTATTGCTGTAGCACCAAGACTTTTGGGGCATGTTTAAACCAGCTGTGGTTTAGTCATAAAAAAAAATGTTTAAAAAGTTTTTTTCTTCTACTTCAAAGTTATATGTTACTTTGTGATAATATATCACATTGCATCGTCATGGAATACTTTTAGATTCTGGTCGTAATGTGATGAGATGTGAAAAAATTTGAAGAGGTATAAATCAATAATCCTGCAAGCCTCTTTCAATGAGGGAAAATATATCTTGAATTTAATTTTTTTACAAATTACTAAAGTCTATTTTCCATCCATGTAAATAATGTAGATTTTAGGCTGAGGAAATTTATTACAAGATTCCCATGAGTACCACCACTTCATTTCTGTCTTGCTTTCACGTTTAAAATGCATGAATATCATCTGACTGATAACAAAACACTTTAAAACTAAAACTTTGCCTACAGACACTGTTGGACTTGGGTGCTTCTCCTGACTATAAAGACAGCAGGGGTCTTACTCCTCTCTACCACAGTGCAATGGTCGGAGGAGACCCATACTGCTGTGAACTGCTGCTGCATGACCACGCACAAGTCGGCTGTGAGGATGAGAATGGCTGGCAGGAAATACACCAGGTAATAAATACAATGAGGCACACGCAAAGTGTTAAGAGTTTTTCTTGCGGAGAAAAAAAAATGGTTTGATTTTCAAAGTTCAATTCAATGTCATTTTGAAAGTCTTTGCTCCGTATGAGTAAATGTAAAGTCTCATTAGGAACTCCTGTAGAATGGTATTCCTGAGTTTTAATGAAACAAGAAAAACAGGCAGCTTATCACAACAACTTATTAGTAAATTTTGGATTTATGTTTGTGCATGTAGAAATAGGAAAAGCCATTGTAAGGGTAAAAATGTTGTAATGCCTTAACTGTTGAGGCAGCAATTGATAAAATGTCCCAGTCACACACTGGTTATGTAAAGAAACCAGTGATGATCAAAATTGTAGAAATTTATTATTTCTCTTTAATTACATATTCAAAGAATATTAAAAATCTCAAGATGGAAGGAACTGTACGTCCTGAGAACTGCTGCACGTTAAACGGAAGTGTGGAGAAATCCAATATTAATTCATTTGACCAGTTTAACTCAACTTTGAAAAAAACATTGTAACATTCAAAAGTTCACCTTTAGTATCTACAATAAGATTACCATTGGTGGATATTTTTGGATGAAAGTTATTGTGAGGTATCAGAAGGTCAATTAGTTTTTGGGTTTTTTTTTTCTTTACGTGTTTAACTTTAATGGCTCTGCTGTTTTCTGGTATAGCCTTAGCATAGTTTAATGAGGACGTGCAGTCTGTGTAGACAGTATAATTCTTTATTTTGTTGTTTTGCCAACATTTTAATTGCCTACTATGTCAACTCTACCTGAGGGGCAAAAATATCTCAGTTGAGGACATGGATATAAATATACACATATACTTCAGCAAGTCTCAATCAGACTGACAAACTTTCACTGCCCTACTGTTGTCAGGCAGAGGTGAGTGTTCATAATTGTATCATAACTTGATGATTATAACTTTAAACTATAAGGTCATGATACTTTTAAAAAATAGTGAGGTGGGCTCAAATGAATAATTATCTATTTTAATGACGCTTATTGAAATGTATAACCTCTATGTTGTTGAACAGTAGAAATTCATATGATATTTTCCTTTGACAGCATTGTGAACCTTACAGATAAAAAGATAGTAAGAAGAAACTACAAACTATAATCTGGTTTGAGCATGTAAAAAACCGACTTTTATAAACTTGTAAAAATGTCAACATTTGTTTGACACAACAGAGAGAAAAGAACAATTTAACAAACTAGGAATGTTCCCATAATTGAACACTCCAAATGGTTTGAGACCAGTTTAAATGTGACGTTATTATCCAGTGAAGCTTGGAGTTTATTGGTTGGCCTCGTCTTCAGGACTTTAAGACTGAAAATGTGAAGCAGACAAACTCATGTCCCTGTGAGGCACATACAGCCAGGATGGTGCTTGAGCTTCCTACTTGATACCAACATTCACTTTTCTTGGTCCTATTAGCTTCATGCTCAAAATTGTGTACTATATTATGTACTGAATAGAAGGTAATATCATTTGGTTTTAAAAGCCTCCACACAAGAAATTCAACTCTTGCAAATTTCCATCTGTGAACCGGTTTGACCCAAAGTTTCACCTGGGCTGTAATTAACTGTCTTGCAACAAAATGATGGCAGTAAAATCTCATAAATCAGGGCTCACCTTTGTGGTTAAATGCAGCACCACTGGTTTTCCTTTGTGGTGCTAAAACCTCAATAACAAAGTAGCACAGTGTTATTATCTTCAAAAAGGAGCAATGAGAGCACCAATGGGCAGAGGAGAAACCCAGCAAAGACTTGGTAAGAACCAGTTATTGTCCTGTCATTTTTTAACTGTGTAGTACAGCCACACCCCTCTAATGTAGGCAAGGGGCCCTGAGTTTGTTAAACCAGCTAACTTACAAATAATAACTCTAATACATTCTCATGTTTAAACTTATGTTGAGTTTCACTCACCTTAGGATAATAATACACCAGCACTTCTCTATTTTTTTCACCCAATAATATAGCTCTGAGTAAGAATAATAAACTCCACATACTATTCTACTAGAAATCACACACACACACACACACGCACACACACACACACACACACACACACACACCCTACACACACACACTCACCCCCCCACACACACACACCCATGCACACACACACACACACACACACACACACACACACACACACACACACACACACACACACACACACCTGTATGAGATTTCAACTTTTGGACATATATTTAGCACAATAATGAATTCACAAAACTGCAAATGTTTTGTTTCACAAAACCTATGTAAGTTAATGTGGGCCCACACTTCAATGCCCACCAATTCCGTCCAGATCATAAAGATGATGTGTGCTGGTGCAAATATTATCCAGACAAATGAGAGAATACTATTATTTTCTGTTCATTTATTTATGAATATCCTAGTAATTGTCTAGTCTTTTTTATATTATAATTGGCAACTGATAAGAAGCTCTGAAGGTTGTCACATTTTAATTTAACTAAAAGTCATGTTGAATTAATTTAATTTGTAACAAGCACTTATCTTGACCTGCATTAAAAACAGAAGAAAATTAAAGTTCGTTTTTCTCATATAATTTGCAGAATTGAACAATAAAAAAATTGAAAGACGGAAAATAGTGAGTGAGTGAAACTTGAAAATGGCAAACATTAAAAAAACATTTGATAGGACAATGTTCAGCTCATTCAGAGACCAGTCAGCAGAGAGATACACACAAGACATTTAAAGTATCTGACAATAAAGAGCAACATTGCCATTGATATTGCCTTGGATTCTCTTAAGCAGATACAGTTTTTTGATGTCTGAACTGAAATTGCGTTATCAAATAACTGTGCTGCCCTTCACTCAAAGACATTTTAATCAGTTTTATGCCTTTCAACTCCAACTCTTTGCTGTGTGTTGGTGTGTTCTTTTCCCTCCATTTTGCATTTATTTTCATTTTGCATTTATTTTAGAGTTAGCAATCTGTAAGTACATATTGTCTGAAATAGAATATGCCGCACATGGCTTGTAACTAAGAAAACTTCCAGCATCATTTGGTGCTCTCTCACTTCTACAGTGCACTCCAATGAGACAAAACACAGTGAGAGAACAATGGCTAGGGAAAGCTTTTTTCCTCTGTGTGAATGACAAAGGACACAAGTGGAAAGTATAGAAATATTGCTCCAAGTTAGGTGCAGCAGCAGCCGTGCAGAAAATGTCCTACCAGAATAACATCACACATTTACATTTAGCCTCAGGTGGTGCAAACAAGATTTTCTCATCCTTTTAGTAACTGTTGTTGTGACTAAAGAGGAATTTCTATAAGATGTAGTTAAAAGGAAAGCGGGAGCGGCTTCAGGATAGTTTGCAACAGCTTTCATCCCAGTAGACTGAGCAATCACCACAAATTAAAGTTAAGGAAAATATAGAAAAAAACTCAAAATGGAAAGACTGCTCATAATTTAGCTGTTTCAGTATTGCAAAGGTTTGTGATTTACTGTATTGAACCACTGTTTAGATAACCAAAAACCAGAATTAATGTGCTGTTTGTTTGGGCAAATAGAAAATGTAGGTCACAGGAACATCTTGATTATGACTAGTAGACAAAAGAAGATCTTGGTAATGGACCCTGGCTGCAGCCCATCTCGCCAACGTTTTAACGCTCTTTATCATTCTTATTTGTCCAAGTTCTTCACATTTTGTAGGAATTGCGATGTGGTTCTTTCACTTCATTTATCATCTGGATGTCCAAATGATGGAGATTATCTAATAAAAAACACTGAGCAAAAAGAGTAAGTTTATTAATTTGTCATTTTAGGCGTGCCGCTATGGCCACGTGCAGCACTTGGAACATCTGCTGTTCTACGGAGCCGACATGAGTGCCCAGAACGCATCTGGAAACACTGCCCTGCATGTGTGTGCTCTCTACAATCAGGTAACATTCATTCTGACACAAAATAATATTTCTGTTTTTGACTTAAATTCTTCCTTAGAGAAGACTGTGACATCTGTTCTTTGTACAATGTACACCCGCCGGCTCTTTTAGTGCCCACTGGGCAGCAACATGAAGACTGTATGAGCATGTTGTGCATTATATGCTTAGACTTTTTCTCGTGTTTCAGTGTTGCAGTGTTGACTGAACTAAATAATTAAACATATTAAGTCTTTTCCCTTTTGGTTTTAGTTGCCTAAAATTAATCACTTGGTAAATATTTAATGATGCACATGACCAGCAGATGAAAACCTTGCACAGATTATTTTGTAAACAGTGCAGAACACTGCAGTTTAGTCAGTCCCGACTATTAGAAGACACTTTGTTGCAAGAACTTTTTAATTTTTTTATATTTAGTTTCAAATTCACTGTCAATTTGTACTTCATCTAAACTGGATGACAGATAACTATAAATTGGCAAAATATAAAATTGTGCTGAATAATTAAACATAAGAACACAATTTATTTATTAAATTAATCCTGATAATTATTTACTGTTTGCCTCATCACCTTGCTTTAGTTTTTTTTAGTCTAATATATTTTCTTGGAAAGTTTTTCACATTCTACATCATTGTTTCATCAGCTTAATTAAAAATATGAGAACAGATATTTTAGATTCACCTAAGGATTATTACTAAGTAATATTTCTTCATCTTACCTTCCATTGCAGTTCTGCTTGATTCTCGTCTCCCTTCTGTTCTCTGGCTGAGACTTTTGCCATTGAACTCAATTTCTCAGGATGAACTTTGTCCTGGGCAATCAATAGACAGAGGTGCTAAAAATGATTACTCTGATTTTCTGCGCTGTTGCAGAATTGTAGTCTGCTTATGTTTGCAGTTTGGCAATGGCAACGGAAGAAGCAAGTCCATGATGGCAACATTTCCAAATATTGAACAATTTAAAGTCGGAGCAGTAGAATGCTTAAGACATTTTATTGCTTTCGAAAATGTTGTTTGGCTCGGCACTTCTCTATTCGTAGACTGATGGTCTGTGGTTGGGCTATTCAAAAACACCCACAGGTTTGTTCTGAAATGACTCTTGCACTGTTGTTCACTTGCTGGTGGGTTTGGAAGTGACAGCTTCTTGCCTGCAGCTGTTGTTTGTGGCAGGTGTGTCATAGGTTAGTAATTTAATGCCATCGCCTTTATGGAAACTATTTAATGCTGTTGTGATAATATAATATAATATAATATAATATAATATAATATAATATAATATAATATAATATAATATAATATAATATAATATAATATAATATAATATAATATAATCAGGACTTAACTTAAAGGTTTTTATCTGAAGATGAGAGTATAGAGTAGATTTATTCAAATGATCCAAATTGTTTTTTAATATTTTTAAGTGACTATATTTAAAATTAGTTTATTAAGTTTATTGATTTTTATTAGAATTTAGAAATTTACATTTACAGCATAAACATCTACAATCTTTATGTTTCAAAAGAATGTAAACAGGACGACTTGTCATAAGATATGATATATATTTTCTTCTGCTGTTTTTAAAGGGTTAAAACAAATACCTGATTCTTAAGTGATGAATATGGTATTTTGACTTATTAAAATGATTAATATAAACGAATCAACTAATATTTACTTCGACCAATTGAAGGAAGAATATTTTTAAAAGATTTTTGTTGCGCTTTTCATGGCAATTTCTTCAGCTATCTTGGCATTAAGCTATTTATCTGTATTTTGTTTCAACTTTGACAGGTTTCAATGGAAATTGAGATTTTCAGCGTTTTGAATGCTGTACCTGTCTTAATTTCTAACACACTCATGTGTTCTTGGTATAAACTCAGAGGTTATTTGATGTTCTTCTAACATATGTTTTGCTATAGTTGGGAAAAAAATCAAGTTCTTTTACATAGTTTAATATATGGCAAATTAAAATGTTATGCTTTTCTGTATTTGAACCTTTTTAAGGTCAAAATTGGGACTGAGCTGCCACATAAGACTTCAGTGTGTTGCTCACAGATCTTAAATTGCAGTAATCGAAGAAATAAGAGCTTTTTTCTGCAGTTCTTGCTAAGTCATTACAGCATCAAAAAGAGTGAGTGGAGATTCTGAAATATGAATGAACATGCTCACTTTTGACTGATGTACAGTAAGACACTGCAGGGCGTGAAGGTTTGGAGAGGTCTGTAAATCCAGCATGCTCTTGTGAACATCATGAAGGTTCCTATAAAGAGTATGACTACTTACTGTTTGTTTTGAGTCTGCTCAAAGTGAGGGACTTTAACTTGGCACTCTAAAAGATGCATTTCTGCTGCTTCATTGGGAAAATGTGGTGCTCACTTCATAAACATTAAATGAGCCCTCTCGCTCACGTGAAAAAGAAAGAGCTCATGTTAGAAAGGAACTGAAATATGTTCGCCCGCGTGTGTGTGTGTGTGTCTTATGTGCTGTACAGCTAATTTCAGTTGTGATGAATGAACTGCTTCAGCTCAACTGGAACACCAGTCTCGGGAGTAGAGGGTAGTTGCGTGTGTGTGTGTGTGTGTGTGTGTGTGTGTTTGGTTAGCAGAGCATCAATAATTAATACTAACAGTTTGTAACACATCCACGTGACTGAAGTTGTTTTGTGTTTATCATCTCAGTGAAGGAAGAGCCAGAGCTTAAGCATGTTTTGTTCATGTCATTAGAACATACTGTAAATATGCTAGATCTCCCTTCAATTTGCAGAAGAAACTCAGGAATATTACATCCTAGTGTGAACATTTATTTTTAATTATGTGCTTAGGAGAAGGGTCAACAAAGTAACAGCTCTGACTGGTTGGAGCATGCCTGTAAAAAATATCAGACAGTCTGGATGACTGGCTTGAATTTTCAACTCCTTGTTCTACTTACTTTACATCCTGCATGTTAATGGACCATGCCGTCGCTCTAGTCAGTTCTTGCTGATGAGAATGACATTTCAATCAGCTTACCACAGTTACTGTGCCAGTGTAGAATAGCACAGCAGCTGTGGTAAGCTGATTGATCTCCCAAAGCGTGCATCATAGCAGGGTATCAGCAGGCCTGAAGCAGGCTTGTCTTGGATGATTATCTACAATCACAGTAAGAAAGGGGATTGTAGGATCGATTGGAAACGTAGTTCTCCAGTGACAGGATCAATAGAGTCATATGTAGAGAGAAGAGTCACTGTCACCAAGAGGAAAATATAAATAACTGTGAGAGACTGAATGAATGAAAAGTAACTTTCAGTAGAAAATATTAGAATGAACTAGTTCAATCCATGCCCCTTTTGTGGCCACTGGCATCAACATAGAGGGCCTGGCAGATGTGTTGGTGAATGAGGACATGGCAGGAGTCTTTTGACTGGCACAGAGATTCTTGAGACATGCTTGAAAAAAGTCTTTGAGAAGACAGAACTGTGTTGAATAGCAAATCAGCATAAATACACACAAGACACAAGTTGGACTGTCTGCAACAGTCAAATATGGAGTCATAAAGTACAATCCTATAAATAACTCTTTAGAGGAGGCAGCTTTTTGTAAGTTGTGATTGTACATTCACTTAAACATAAAATAATTGCTTCAGTGGTAAGGATTTAAGAAATCCTTATGCATAAAAACATGCAGAGCAAAATCTGTTGCCTTTCGTATACTAGATGTGACTGAACAACAAAAGGTGAAAAGCTGTACACTTGAATACATCGATTGGTGCCTAATTAAGTTTAATGTGTTGCTTTTGGTTATGATAAAGTCTGACTCTCAACATGTGGTATGTTAATTGAGATGGGGCTAATATACAATGTATTATCATGCTAAATGAGAATGATAAAACCAACCTGAAATTCCTAAATAAAATACCCATCCAGTGTTCAAAAGCTGGGATGATGTTTCTTGGCTGCCTGGGGAATGCCGTGGGATTTCCCCAGCGGAGCTGGTCCAAGTTGCTGCAGAGAGAGAAGTCTGTATCTCCTCTTAGGTTGCTGCCCTGGCAACTCAAACCTATTTAGTGGAAGATAAATACAACGTGCTGGAAGACGTTTTCTTTCAGGTTGAAGAAAACCCAACATAAAATATTTCATTTTAGGTGGTAGAATTATTAGGTGCATGTTTATAAGATTTTATGTGAAAAGATTTGAAAACCATACATTCTTCTCTATAATATTTTTATTTTATTATATTATAGTTTTATTTCTACATTACAACTATTCACTACTTTGTTCATATGTACCAATATTTTTGTGCAATTTTGCAATTATCTGCATATGTTTAAAAGCTCTAAACTCCATAACTCCATAATCCTATACAGATGTTGGTAAGTTGAAGACTTTCTAAAGTTCATATTTTTTACATAGTTTTTTTGTGTCTTATATTGGCACTCTGGTTCATTCAGGAAAGACTTTTTGAAAGTATGAATATTGTACAAATATCAGTGAGGTCAAGTTCACTAAGAAACCACTAAGTAAGTATGTGAACTGTGTGTTATATTTCTTGATTAGGTAGTTCAAATTGAATGTCGGAAACTATCTGACTTAACTACTTTTGAATAAAAAACAAAATAAATATGTTCACAGCTGCAGCAATGAGAAATGCTCCTCTACTGCTGGCATTTCAAATGAAGACGTAGAGACTTGTCAACAATGACTCAAGCAAAGGAGTATTTCTTGTAATTCATCTCACAACTTCACAATCTGTTATTTTATTTCCATCTGTTTCACAAATTCATTCAGCTGTATAACTTCTGAATGATACCATATTACTCTTCTTTACAGCATCAGTTTTCTCAGTCATTTTTAAATGGTGCCCTAAGCTAGATTTCTTTTAGAGAGAATTCAAGAGGTTAGCAGTAATGACAATAGTCACAACAAACGTCACAGTGTACATCTCCAAATTATGATGGACTTGTTGGTGTACGACTTTTCAAGACCATTACACTGCCGGTTTTTGTTATTGTAATTTTTTTAACTCTGCAGTCTCACTTCCATTGTGACATGAGTCATATATTTCAGTACTCTAATGGTTTATCATTGAGACAGACATACGTATATTTAGTCTAGTAAAGTTTGTAAACATTTTCAACATATGCAGAGATACTTGCACAAGAAACGGCTTTGGCAAACAAGAAGTGAATTAATCTTTAAGTGTTATCTGATGTGATGCAAAAAATCCTGAAATATCACCTCAAACAGTGGTGATATTTCAACACATGAATCTCTTCCTCATTTAGGATAGCTGTGCACGTGTCTTGCTTTTCCGAGGAGCCAATAAAGAGATAAAGAACTACAATAGCCAGACTGCTTTTCAGGTATGCGTGGTGTCTAATAGTACCAAGTTTAATTTTAATTGTATGAAATTACATAGGTTTAATGTTTATAATGCATAGCTTTGTCTTAATACATTGAATTATTCCTTTTTATCACAGACAAATTATGTGCAACTATTTTTTGTATGAGTACAACATTTCCAGACTACAAAAACTGTTGAGTATGTGCTTAGGTTTGTTTTCTGTCGCTTAAACATTATCTCTGCTTTCCATGTTCTTCTCTCCCATTAGGTGGCTATTATAGCTGGAAACTTTGATCTCGCAGAAATCATTAAGGTTCACAAAGCATCAGATGTTGGTAAGTTGAGAATAGAAGTCACTTTACTAAAGTTGATTAAATATTCAGCTGCACTCTTTGTGCCAGTATATTTCTGTAACTGATAAGAGTTTGAAATATAGACTGAAGAATATAAAAAGGAAGGGTGTGTGAGGACACTGGACTCTTGAGTTAAGGAGTTAAACAGTTTCTTTGTGAGATAACATACAGGAAAACTCTGCCATCTGGTGTGGACAGCTTGTAATACCCCACTCCAAGACAAATTTCTCAAATTAGTTTTTCCTTTGTAAGCAACAACCCTAGTAAATCCGTAATAGCATATAAAGTCTACATATTGTTGCTTACATCCCTATCTTTGTCAACAAGTCAGGATTTAACTGTGGTTTTCATTCTAGGTGATTCAAATTGAATATCCGTGCTTATAAACATTTCTATATCCTATTTCCTTTCATTTCATTTAGATTTCTTTTTATCTTTCACTAATCAGTCTGAATTTATTAGTTAATGTACTTCCTAGTTTGAAATTTATGGATGATGGTCAACAATCTATTAATATGCCATAATGTGCCACATTTTGTCATATTACAACTCCAAAAGATCAATATTTTATTGAGAATTTAAAGGATTAGCCAATACAAAATACCACACAATTGTGAAGTTGAAGCAAAACGTTGCATGTGAAATATCAGAGCAGTGTAGCATGCATTTGTATTTGGGCTCCAAAAGTGCAGTGCAACCATTTGCCTTTAAAAGCCACTTAGTTAGTAAATAGAGCTCAGCTGTGTGGAATTTAATATCAGTATAAATCCAGCACCAAACAGCATCATGAAGACCAAGAAACGCAGGAAAAAAGTTGTAAAAATCTTTGAAGGAGGTTTAGTTTATAAAAGATTATGGCAGGCTAAAAATAGAAAGAGTATTGGCTGACGTTTGACCTAACAAAACAGGCTTGGCTTATCTTGGCAGACCAGTTTAGGTGATTAATGCTAGATGTCTAGCATTAATCACCTAAACTGACAAGCAAATGACAGCTTTAATTAGAGAAGCAGGCCCATGGCAACTCTGGGGGAGCTGTTGAAATCGACATCTCAGGTTTAATTTTTTGATGGGATAATTAATTGGAGTCTACTCCACAACAAAACCTCTGATTCAGATGAGGTCCACTTTGCAATTTGACATAAGTCGTATTGGTGCACATCAATCATGTGGAAGAAACTAGGGTCAAATAAGACCAAAACTGAACATTAAAGCAGAGTGTTTGCATGCAATATATTACATCTGGCAGAACACAGTTTGTCCCCACTGTGATAAATATGGCCCCACTGTTTTCCCACTTGTTCCATGGACGGTGGAACCACAATGGAACCACCAGTTCTACGTACGTGGTCTGAAGTTTATGGGAAAGTGAACAAAGATAAAGACAGGTCAGTTGTGGAAGAACATATTAGAGGCTATAAAAGACTTGAGACGGGGGCAAAGGTTCATTTTCCTGCAGGTCAAGTGAACCTCTGACATACTGTCAGAGTTACAATGGAATGGTTTATATCAAGCATGTCTGTGTTGGAATGGCCCAGTGGAAGCTGTAAACCTATGTGGCACAAATTGAAATTTATGTTCATAAACTATCTCCGTCCTGTCTTTCTAAGCTTGATAAATTTTGCAAAGAAGAATATACAGAATCGTTAGTCTCAAGGGTGCTTATTGACATCCGGTGGTAATTGCTGGTTTTATAGATACAGATGGAAGCGGTGAATGTTTATCACGTTTCAGATTTTTATTTGTCACATCTAGAAAGCCTATATGATTTACTTTCCACTTAGCAATTATGTTCTACTTTGTGTTGGTTCATCAAAAATATCCCCAAAAAGTACATAGAACTTTCTTTTTCTTTTTAATATGACTAAATATGTAATCTGTAAAGGGTATGAATAATTCTTACTGTATATTTTATCATCTCATTTCCAGACATTTGTGAATGAATTTAATAAACTTACAATACATTTTATTTAATTTTAAGTTAAATAAAACTTAGTTCTTGCCATCAAACAGCCTTTGTCTGTTGTCTGCAACAACATCTTCCTTTAGTCTACTGTTTCTTTGTTTCTAGTGCCTTTCAGGGAGACTCCCTCCTACACCAACCGTCGACGTGTTGTGGCTGGCACCCTCCCCTCACCACGTTCCTTGCTGCGCTCTGCAAGTGACAACAACCTTAATGGTGACCATGATCACATCCACCCTCCGCGCCCTCGAGAATCCCGCGGCCGTCCGGGTCACTCCCCTGTTCCCTCACTGCGCAGTCTCCCAGCTTTTGGGCAAATGCACAGCAGCCTTGGAGAAGTAAGACTATTATAAAAGGTTGTTAAAACCAACAGTAATGCCATGAAAGCAGACTGTTTGCATGGTGATTTACTCAATCACTTAGTGATGTTTTGTCCTTCTGCTTTGTGTCAGGGTCGTCATGGAGAGATCCCTGACAGCAGTCTCCAGAGTACCGGCAGCTCCAGATCCTCCCATTCCCGCTCACCATCATTACATCACATGCATGAAGAGGACAGGCCAGTCCCCAGACGTTCCCACAGCCATGGCTACCCTCATGGACATGGTCCTCGTGGGAGACTCAGGTTTGTAACGATCTCTTCTGCCCAGTTGCACTAATTATTTCTGGTTATACTCAACAAATACCAGCTGATGAATACCACCAATCTTCATCTCTAATTCATCTTACCCTTGCCAGTCTTCTCACATATTCACTCTAACAGCTGAATATGTGAGCTAATTTGTGACTTGACTTTTGATTATGTACCCATTTAGATTTTTAAGTCATGTAATTCTGGGGAAAAAAACATTACATGTTAAGAATCATGCAATCTTCATTTAATCATCAGTCATTTGCACAAATAAAGATATTTTCTATTAAATGTGTACTACAAAAGTAAACATATTTTGGATTATTACCTAAAAGATGTATATAAATCGATATTGGCTTTACTGTAATAAACTGAACAAGGTTAATAATAAACTGAACAAGCTTGTTATGCTTGGTGTAACTTTTGAATGAACCATGCTTCTGGGTATTATGGAATAATACCAGGCATGTTCATGTCATGTATAAACAATGGCCATGTTTGTTTATTATTCTGAGCTAAGATGCTATTTGTTTTGTCAAAGGGATGAAAAAGAATATTCTTGGAGTTTGTGTTTGAAATGTGCAAAATTTTAATGTGCATAAAGGCCCAATTGCAACAGTGTTTAATTAACGGTGCTTGCACAGGGCTGTACATGCTGATAGGAGCTAATAATGATCTCCCTTGCAACAAACTTTAATCTCTCAGCTTGTTTGGATCATTAGTTACATTTTGAGTTCGAGTGATTTATGTATTGGCTTAATTCTCAAATTGGAGCTATGAGTAATGATATAAGACATCCAGCCCAGTTCAAAAGGTCCTGTCAATTGAGGGCAGACTAAATCTAATTTGTTTGCATTTAACCAATAGATTAATTCAAACTAGATCACATCTCTGAGATAATTGGTTTATTACCTTTTTAAATAGTCTCTTAGGTTATAAGAGCTCAATGACATGCAGTATATATTCAGTGTACATCATTTTCATGTTTAATTTCCTTTTGGTATGTTTTTTCAAATGAACTGTTTAATGAGGGCTTCAGCTTAACATTTACACTAAATTTAAAGTGAGTGCATAAATATTGTTAGTAACAGGTTTGTGTTTCACTCAAACTCTCGTAAAGAGTCATGAAGTCCTTTTCTTTTGGCAACTGATTTTGATAGAAAGTATTTAAAATGTGTCCTAAAACATTTTGATAATATTTCTGTGTAGAGCACTGTTTGATTGTCATTCTCATTTTGTGCTTTAGACTACTCAAAAACATTTGTTCAAACTTCAAACTGTCCTTGCTTTGAAATGTTTTTTCTCTTAGCAGTCTAAAATTATGTTGCAATGAATTGGATTATTTTCCACAATATCAGTGCTGCACAGGGTATTTAGTAACAGATATCGCATTAATGGTTTAGTGGATATGTTTGTTCAGTCCGACGTTGTTTGGGTGGAGTGAAAACAAAAGAGAATAGAAAGCAGGTTTAATATATCTGCTGATATAGCCTCATCTACACATGGAGCTGAGACCTTGTTCCAACCTTGGCACTTTATATTAAAGTAAGGAGAATATATAAGGAGTCCTAAATGACCAGCTGGTCTCAATATCCAGAACCTGCATCCAAGTGAGAGTGATAGTGTCCTTGAATATTTTTTATGTTGTTCTCACTTTCTCTTTTCACTGTCTGACCTACTGTTTATGCCAGTAGTTATTCTAGCGGCATTATAGGTACCAGGGGAGTGTGAAATTAGTTTGGCTGGTCAGCAACAGACTCCTGTGAAACTCACCATCACTTCCTCCTCCCTACTTGTGTAACAAGCTTTTAGAGTTCCAAAACTTGACCTTATTTTGCTTATGCCATAATATTTTAATTAGCCACTTCATGTGTCTTATCAATATGGCATTGTGATTTATCTCCTAAAGAACACTGTTTCATTGAATTAGCTTGAAACTACAAATTGAGTTGCACACTTTGTGTCTTTCAATCAGGGTGAATCAGGGTGGAAGTTTTGAATACAGTTTAAAATGTGTTGTGCTGTTGTTAACACAGGCACCGTCTGAAAGCATAGTCAACATCATCTTCATCACTTTTATTCTACATAAGTAAGTGAACGGTAGTAATTAAAATCTTTATTATCTATATTAGATATTGATATCTTCTTGCTAAACTACTGAATTTTTAAAAGAGGGCCTAAAAATCCACAACAAGCTTTTTAGGGTTTATCAGTGTTCTAGTAAGAATTAATGAACATCACTGGTTAATTTGGATTATTTCTCATTTATGTTTTGTAAATTAGCTCAAATTTGTTATCTCTTGTCTGTGACTGGAGTGGATTTGATCATAAAAAGTTCAAATTTTTAAAAGTCATAAAATTATTATTCATTTTGTGACAACATACTTTTGTTGGCATGAAGACAGCTTTATGTTGAGACAACCATGAAAATTGCAATGTTTGGACAACCCAGAATTATTATTCACTACCCACATTCTATTCAAAACTGGTTTAGGTTTTTGAACCATGTGAAGAAACATTGTCTGGAAAGAAGTTAAATCACATTCTCTGTCATGCAAGAACTGCCACTGCCATCTTCTCTTGCTGTGTTCTGTTTTTTTTTGTACTGTAGTGCATTACTTTGACTTTCGAGACGTTAGCCTTATCTCTGCAGTTTCTCCCACTCAGTTATAATTTCCAAGAGTAATTTGATATCCATGGTACGTTTGATGTTTGGTTAGTCATATCCCTCCAGGTCACGAGTTCCATCATACTTAAAGGTCAACTATAAGCCTTCTGAGCTTTGAGTATACCTCAGGGTCCTGTTTTGTTTTATACCTTTTACTCTATTCTTTCTTCTGTTGTTATTTCCCTTCATTTTGTCCCTGAAGAGAAGACTAAGGGACTCATGGGGATAAAAGTCCTTCCATTCACAGGTTTTCAGTGAGTTCTCAGAGGTCATATTTCAAACGAATTCCTATTAAGTTCTCAGTGTCATTTTCAACTATTTATTCAAAGGTGCTGATGGACTTTGTAGGAAGCATTCAAGGTGAAAAATAACAAAATTTTGTGTTTCAGTATTTTTTATAAAATATGAGCAGTGGTCTGGAAGTTTTAAAACGAGATTCTTGTCTACATATTTAAAAATGGCAGAAATGTTAATGTTTCAGTCAATAAGTAAAGCTTTTCAGTAAAAGCTAAGTGGTGTTTGCCTAGCCAAACTCAATCTTTCTTAAGTTAAGATGCGGTTTTACTGTTTTGAATTGTAGATTCACTGGGCATAACCTTAAAATGTTCTTCCCATGTGCAAAGTCCACAATCTTCATTCTTCTTAATAGCTATAAACACTCCCATGTTAAGGAAGAAAGAATGAAAGGACACAGATTCATTCATGTGCAGTAAGGCAAGGGCAGAGTGAGGATCATTAGAATGCAAAGTGTTATGCTGATTAGGACTGCACATCTCACCTTAGAGAGGTGGGCTATTTGAGGAAAAACCCATTTACCTGCTAGGGCAAGACAGCCATGCATAAAAATGCTTCACTGAAGCAGCTTAATTTGATAGCATCTGGGTAAATGGCATTAAATGACTTTTTGAGGTGTTTCTTCAGATTTATGTCAACACTTTAGAAGATAAACCCAACCTTAGGCAGCTGAACACATTGCTAAGCTGTTCAGAAGATAACATATGATTAGCTCATATTATTAATTATGATTATAGGTTTAATACAAAACATAAAAACAGGTACTTTTATTTTTATTTATTTTTTTCAACCTAATTCTCTGTTACACAAATTATACTAAAGTTTATACTTCACTCTGTTGTTGGAAAACCAATTATGAAAAGTATTACTTTAAAATATACAGAATTTCAGTTCAATTATTCGCATTAATTCAGTATTTGTTGTAAAATAACAAATCCAGTTCAATTTAAATCCATTTTAGCATGCATTTGTATTCTTCAGTTCCATTTAAATATCATTACTACTGAATTCAATTGCAATTCAATCAAATGCAGCGATTGATTGCAGAGATCTGTCATTGCAAACAACAAAGCAAACTATCGAGATAAATTTGAAGCTCAAAATAGCAGCAGACATGAACAGCAGAGGGGCAAAGTATGAATGAAAACAAATGAGACTCTAATATTCAATGGAAATATTTATTTTCCATATTTAACGTTCACCAGCCACAAACTGCATGTTGAAATGATAACAATAGAAAGCTCATCCAATTGGTCAGGAGAACAGTTTTCAGAGATCACTGAAAACTGTTGTTTTAAATTGAACTCAAATAGACAGTATATTTGTGTATAGAGTAATAATAAAATCAGACTGAAGATATAACCTCACTTGGATGAAAGTTATGGTAATCAAGTCATCCAAATGTGAGAGAGATTCTGTGAGGTACACTGGTGTGCTTCAAAGAGAGGTGAAAAATGTGGTTGAGTTTGTATAACAGAGCATGTTTGTTAATGGCTCTACGATTTTTGCATTTCTCACATACTTCTGATTTCAAAAGACATTACCTCACACAGCCCCTGGTTTCTATAGAGAAAAGTGAACAATTCCCTCCATGTCCAAGATGTCTTGATGAAATTACTCAAAGAATAATGTCCTGACTGGCATTCATCCAGCTGTGAAGTTGAAATAGATGAAAATCTTTCTGACAAGCTTTTGAATTGATATCTTTGCCAAAATAAAGATGGCTGTGTACCTAAAACTACAGCCATAATGGTTTTTGTAAAGGTGAGGATGATAAAGTGTCTGCATAGCGCAGCCTCATCTTCCTTCTGCAAGCCTCTTAAAGCTTGATAAGTGTGCTGCTGTTGTTCTACGCTGTGACTCAGACATTAATATGCTGGAGCCGCTACAGACCGTCAGATTCTATAGCAATTGGAAAGCCATCAGCAAATGGTTGTTTCGATGTTGGGTGTTTTCAGGGGTGGTGGGTTGAGGGGGTGAAAGGAAGAATTGAGTAAGGAAAAAGGAAATAAATAAGTCTATAAATAAGAAACAAGGAAGACAATAAGACAAGGGGAAAATATGAGACAGAAATCATTCATTAAAATTAAGGCAACAGATAGAAATAGCCAAAAAAAAAAAAGGCTATTGCACATGTAGTGTAACCAGACCCATATTGATGAAGTGCCAGTGCAAATATCTTGATGTTTTCAAAATTTTTTACATCAGAACCACAAACTTCATTGTGATTTTATGTGATGGAACACAAGGCAACATCTTATTATGAAGTGAAAGGAAAAGAAGATATTTTTCAAAGTCACGTACAGAATATGAGCTCCTTTGATCCGATACCGCTATGGATCGTCTTGCCTTCATCTGTAGCAGCAGAAAGAGTGCGACAAGTCAACAGGCATCCACCCTTACTGACTGTAGTAGATTATAACATCCCCCAGAAAGATACTGGTGAAAAGAAAACACACCAGGAACACTTATGATTGGAGTTTCTCATGAGGTGAGTTTCAGAACTTTTATCAGTTTTAGAACACGATTGCGATGCATCCAATGCCACCACCGCTCAGTTCTGTGTTTGCCTACCCAGCCCTGTGCTACTGTGCTGCGGTTGCATGAGTGCACCATGTCAGTGACCAGGCAGGCGAGAAGTTGTTTGTGCTGTTCTGGAAAACTGTGTCTTGTCGCTGTAAGAACTAAAGTAAAAAGTGTATATGTAGGGCTCTAATCAGGAAGAGAAACATTGTCTGTCAAGTTGAAGATTTCCAAAAATAGATATTTCTAACTAGATAAGCCAGACAAAAAGTTAGATTTTTTTCTGCACTCCTTCCCGGTCATAAATGAGTGTGTAATGTATTGCTAAGTAATGTACATATTAACAACCCAAGGAAGCTCTTCATCTGAAGAAGATATAATAATTTTGAATCACCACCTTTAGAATCTATAAATAACTAAAACTTTGCAATCTGGTTTATGCACAATAGCATAGAAACCTTAAAATATCCAAATATCCCTTCATGATAGCAGGTTGGGGGATAATAAAGGGCTGATGATATGTATTTTCCAGGTACATAGTTCAGTTTGATTGGACAATCAAGTAAATATGTTTCGAAAATAACTTAAAGGAAATTTGATGTCTTGAAATTGGCTTTTGTCTCTTTAAAAAGCTCCCTCTTCATGTTATCACAACAGTGCTCCTCCATGATACTGTTTATAATCTTTCTCAGGAGCATTGGACTGAGAAGTAGATTGCATAAGTTCAGCAGATGCACAGTTTCACACGGTTTTTGCTTATTGTTGCTGCTGCTAGTCTGGAGAAGCTTGGGACTGAGCTTATTCTTTCTAGCAGTCCAGTAAAAAACATTGACTCAAATTCAGTCAGGACTGTGGTAAAACCTGAAAATTTATGTTCATACTCTCCATCCATTTTGACTCATCCTGAGCTGCTTTCCAAAGAGATATGAAATTAAATGACATCAGACTTATATAGCAGTTTGTGGACACTCAGGCACTTTGAAACCAGTCGCTCACAGACTGAAGGCAGGCCACTGGCTTGTAGCCACAGGTGCCCTGAGGCAGTCAGACATGGAGCAAGATTTCAGTCTGAAGATCTGTGGTAGAGACCTACAACAAAAGATTTCACAAAAAGAGCTGTAATGAAGCTCTTTTTGTAACTACAGCTCTTGCTTTTCCTTGTATTGAAAGGGACGGTTAATTATGGATTTATGCCACTTAAATACATATCCATGCCACAATTTGCTTTTACTTTTTTGGAACAAAAGCTTTGGAAATTATTATTTAATCTTTACTTTACAATTGTGCACTACTTTGTTTTGGTCTATACCCCCAAAATCTGAACTAAATAAACTGAAGCTCGTGGTTGTAAACTGATTGTATGTGAGGAAGAGAAGAACTGTAAATAACAATGCTAATTGTGTCAAAATTTTATTTATTTATTTATTTTATTTATGCTGAATAAGCAAGATCAAGTTGAGATGTAGAAAGCTGATTTTGTCTAAATATGTTTGTGATTACATATTATTATTGTTTTCTCCTATAAAAAGTAAAAAGAAGATACTTGAGAGAAAGCGTTGGCAGCACAAGCGGCAGAATGATGCTGAATGCAACTTACACAGCCACAGAGGTGATGATGAATGAAGACTAGGCGGAGCTCTGCTGCTGTATTAGAATTCATTGCTTGAGAGAGAGGCAGGAAAAAGAGAGAATGGAGATGCGGTGTGAAGAAATGTGGAGAAGGATGAAAGCAGGTGAAATGGAAGTGAGAGAGAAAGAGAGAGAGATGGAGGGGATTCAAGGCAAAGAGGCAATGAGTCAGGAGCGACAATTAAACCAAATGGGCTGGAGCTTTCGCCTCCTCCCACCCGCCACCCCTCTGCACACAAGTGTACACCCCGATACACACACACACACATACTTACGCAGCCTGCCTCAGGGAGCTATGGCGCATGCACACTCTCGGCAGACAGGCAGAAGGAGATCAGTTGTGCTCTGGGACTGGTGTGTGTCAGCGATGTGTTAGCGACATACTGGCATTGGCGTATGCCATGCCAGTGAAGGTGCAATGCTAGCCGGAGCGGAGGGGGCTGTGTGTGTTTGTGCCTGGGTGCACAGCTAGAATGCACATAGAGGGCTTGTGGCGTGAGAGTGCGAGCGAGCCGTCAAAACGGAGGGGAGGCAAGGAGCGCAGCAGCAGCAGCATTGCTAGAGTGTGTGTGAGTGTGTGTGAACGCATGTGTGAGGGGTGGAGGGGAGAGGAGAGGCAGACACGGAGGGACTCCGGGGAGAGGGAGCGGGAGTTGGGGAGCAGATCTAACCTTTCTTCTCCACAGCAGGAAAGCCAGGACCCAAGGACAAGGGAGGATCTGTAGTCCAGCCCAGAGCATCTGGAGTACAGGAGATTTCTGTTTGTCTTTTGAAGGGACTTCTGATGGAACCCAAACTCAGGATGTGTTTAACTAAAGGGGGCTGCCAGTTGGACCTGATAGATCCACACAGGAAAGGAAACAAGGCTATTCCTTTTACTGGTACATTTTTCTTCTCCTACCTCGAATAGGATGCGAGAGAGAGGGGACACCTAAGAGGGAGAGGGTAAAAGAGAGCAAGAATATTATCTTTGCTACTGAAGAAGAAACAGGGGGAGGACAAGAGTCTTGGAGGAAAATACTATCCTCTCATGACTCTCCTGTGGAACACTGACTGTTGATTGGCAGGTACTTAGGCATGCCTATGAATCCCTCCCTGGGAACATTAACAACCAGGGGGTGTCACCAGGTCGCTGTCCCACTGACGGCCATGTCAGTGACAACCGGCTTCAGTTACCAGCTCCCTGGAATCACCACAGTAACATATGTGTTTGTTTACAGCCCTGGCTCAGTGCAGCGAGACCCAAGCCCACCTCATCACACACCTCCTGCACTGACAGGCCCTCGTGGGCCCAAACGGAAACTCTACAGTGCTGTCCCAGGACGTACCTTCATTGTGGTCAAGCCCTACACCCCACAAGGGGAAGGAGAGATCCAACTCAACCGTGGAGAGCGGGTCAAAGGTGAGTTGTCTTTTCCAAATGTATGTGCTATTTTATCTGCCTTAATTGATTCATTATTAGGATTATGACCACAATATGTACTGATGTACATTTATGCATGCTGGTTGTCATACGAAGGTATGTGACAAAATATGTCTTGCATAACTGTATGAGAATTTACAGAACTTGAAAAAAACTTACCTTGTTCTCTCATATCATTGATTCACTTTCAGCCATAAAGTCATTTCAATAATTTTTTTGCTTAACATTGTGAATAACCATTTCATCAACCTATTTTGAATGTGGTGATTTCTGCTATGAGCAATGATTTTTCTTTCATGGGTTTGTGTGTGTGCTTTTGTTTCCATTCATGCTTCACTCCAGACTTTGACTGTAATGACGTAGAAGGTAAACTCCATAATGTGCTCCCCACCCAAAATCCCCCCAACAAACCTAAGTGTGTTAACCCCACACCCGCAATGAAAGGAATTAGATCTTGGCCCTGTTTGAATCCACTTGAGAAATTTGTACACTCCCACAACAAATCTTTGATCACTGCAATGAGAGCGTGCAAATTCAAACAGGTCCCGTGTGCTTTTGGATGTTGGTGTGCATACATATGATGTGTTTTTTCCACCTTTGGGTTTCCTCTGTGTGTACACAACAGATTTTCAGCTTTCCCTTACCTCTTATCACCTGTCCACAGACACCCAATTCTAGATTGACCCCACACCCAACATCCTGTCACTTCACATGCATCACCATGGATCAGACCCACATTAGCTTAATGGAAACAGTTCCCTCATGTCCTTAGAAGGTCCAGAAAGAGTCGGGTGGCACTCATGCTGAGACCTCTTATGTTCCTTTCAAATCTACAGAGGGACAGGAAGTTACAGCTTAAGGGTCAATTTGAAATGTCTGCTTAAGCCTTGGGTGAGACACATAATCACTTACTTCCTGCTTCTCCTAATCTACAAAGAATTTACAAGCATGCCGTCTTCATTTAATCTTTAGTTACTTTTTATGTAATTCTATATTATTATGGAAAACATTGAACAATCTGAGTTGTTCAATGTCCTGAAATGTGATGGATACTGAAGTTGACATAATAGTTATTGCAGTTGTGATGACTCAGCAGCAGTGTAGTATACCTCTAACTGTTGAATGGATCGGCTGTCACCAGCTTTTGTGCTGGTGCCACTGGATCCATAACCCTGCTATTAATGTGAACACCCAGTGTTTTGTAGTTCTCTCATGTTGACACATACAGGAAACAAGCTTAGAGCATCATGGCAGCCAACACCATGGCACTGCCAAGAAAACCATCTGGTCCTTTTATGCAAACTGACCATCACTATATCTATCTATCTATCTATCTATCTATCTATCTATCTATCTATCTATCTATCTATCTATCTATCTATCTATCTATCTATCTATCTATCTATCTATCTATCTATCTATCTATCTATCTATCTATCTATCTATCTATCTATCTATCTATCTATCTATCTATCTATCTATCTATCTATCTATCTATCTATCTATCTATCTATCTATCTATCTATCTATCTATCTATCTATCTATCTATCTATCTATCTATCTATCTATCTATCTATCTATCTATCTATCTATCTATCTATCTATCTATCTATCTATCTATCTATCTATCTATCTATCTATCTGTCACTCTCTTTCTTTATGGTGCTAGAGAAGTAAATCTTGAATTTTAAATGAGTGAACTTTCTGTGTAATATCACTGTGCATTTAGTATGAAACACGATCAATTTCAGAAAATCAAAACTGACAACCCCCAGGGAAAAAAGGTGCAAAGTGGAAGTCCGATGAATGACAAGAAGCCATTAAGGAGAGACGAGCCCTGGAATGACATGCGCCATTGACAGTTTCAGTAGGTTGCTCACATTAAGAAGGCCTACAAGAAGCTATAAAGTCTGATGTGATAGACAGTTACCAAGGTCGCAATCATGATAGCACAACAGTAATACGGAGTGTACTGGATAAAACCACATCTTATCTTTTATGCAATAATATGAACTAAATAGCAGTGTTCAATAAGTGTGGTGTGCATCACATGTCATAATGGTGCAGGTGTTTACTTAATTTAACTTGAAAGGTTGCATTAAGATAAAATATGGCAAAAGTTGTTTGTAGAAAATAGCATATAGTAAAGAGCACTAAACCCAAAAACAAATGCTGAAAAACACAAGTGAAAGAATTAACACTGCTTTGCTACAGTTGTTTGAAGAAGCTTTATTTTTTAAATGAAGAGGTAATGAATCAAAATTACCTCGATGCCAGGTTAAGCTGTTTTAAGAAGCGGCTGTTTTATGCTTAAAAAGCATAAAACAGCTTAACCTGACTCTATATTTGACTTGGCAATCATCAGAATATTTTTTTTCTTCTGAACCGTGAATGTTATAAAGGCCAACTTGATATTTAAGTGAGTTGAAGATACAATGTGGTAACATGCTAATAAATGCTTGATAATGAAGATTAGAAAAATTATTCCCATTATTGATCATGTCAATAACCAGCTCATAAAGTTTGCAAGGCTGAGTAATAGTTTCTTATTTGATAAAGACAGAGCAATTTGACTTTACACATAATGTACCTTGCCTTATTCTGATTTTTAAAAAACAATGTATATTAAGAACATGCAAATTATACATCAAGATATTCTAAAACCAATAAGAATGTGCTCTGGAGTAATGTTATTCTTTGCAAAAAAAAAAAAAAGAATAATATCTTTGAGCATACGTCATGTGATGATAAGGGTTCCGTATGAGGCACTTTTAGATAACTCATAATTTAACATGAGTTATCTCCTCCCACCATGCTTTGATGGTGTTCTTATTTTCTGTAACTTACTGAATAAAATTCTTATCTAACTTGCCTTTTGTATTCATGATTTTTAAAAAAATAAGATACGATTTTTGATCTGAAACATTTAAGTGCGAAAATAGATAAGTAAGAACTCAACCATACAATATAAAGGAGTGTTTTCACCCCTTGTCTTCAAGGGATGAAACAATTAATCTTACTGGTTGAGAACCAATAATTTTCAACCAATAAGAAGGAAATTATTGGTGCTTTTAATGCTTTTTTTTGCTCCTTTAACTAAAATGTTTTCCCTGTCCACAGAGATTCTGAGAATGACCTACCATAATAAGTAGATTTTTAGCCCCATCCCCAGAACCCCCAAAGAGCAAAGTGTATTGCACTAATGTCTGATTTTCCTGTGTTCTGTGTAACTTCTTTAATCACCAGTTTTACTAGAGGACCATGTCTACGATGAGATCAGACTGGGTAAATCTGATTAAATGATATTCCTGTGTGTGGATGGTTTGATGAAGGGGATGATCCATATATACACAGATCAGTAAATGCCTAACTAGTTGCAGTGCATTAAACAGTTTTAACAATCTGAATTTTGATTGTTTTTTGTCTTCAAGTCCAACCTAATACCTGACTAAATGGAAATTCCTGCAAATGGCTTTAATAAGTACATATACAGAATGCATTGATGATATTCCTTATATTTATGTACATTTCATCATAACTGTCGATTCCCCTTTAAGACAAAGTTTTTCTGTTACCCCTGCACATTTAAAAATGTGTCCAATATGTTGGTATTTTTGACAAAGTGTCATCAGAGCTACTGGCAAATATTTTCCAGAATATTGTTAGAGTTTGGACTTTTATGAGGATTGTTTGCATAGGAACCTGGTCATTTCTGATTAAATAGAGATATGTATATAGTTTGTATGTCATTGTCATTTACAGTTATAAAGATTTGTTGAAATTGTCATTTACAGTTATAAAGATTTGTTGAAACATTACTTTTCAACTACAGTTAGTGCATTTTAAAGTGAAAGACTGCAGACCAGTTCATGTACAGAATATTGTTTGCTCTTGAGGGAGAATGATTCATTGGCAGTAGTCATAGAGACACTATATTAGCTGTGCTATATATACAGTAATTCTGTTTTATACATTCATTTGTTCTTTTTTTATGTTACTTATAGGCTGCCTGGACTTTGATGGTTAGTAGAGTAGATCTATGTCCTCTTGTTTGAATCATGTGTGTTAGATCACTATAATTTTACATAAGAGTAGAATAATGTAGCAACATATCTCACTTAACCCTCCTGTTGAGGGTTAAATGTCAGCCTTTAATGTTTCAGATGATACTGGTTATGGTGATGATAATGATAATGATTAGTATTAGTGGTAGTAGTATTTTATATTGTATAAGATATTAGATAGTATAGGATAAGCTTATATAAGATAAGTTGGTTTTGCTCTCTGCCAGTTTTTCATTGAATCTGGTGGGAACGCATCGGAGCATTAAAATACTCGAAAAGAAAACACTTCTTATATATTTAGTTTTTCCTACAGGCAGGGAACAGTCACCAACTTGTCTAAAATGTATTGTTTTTTCCGATTAAAATTCTCTCTAGAAGATAGAGATGTACAGTACAAACAAAAGGTTTGGACACAACCTTCTCATTTAATGGGTTTCCTTTATTTTCATGATTATTTAAAAGGCAAGAAAGCCCACGTATTTACCTGACAGGGCACACCTGTGAAGTGAAAACTGTTTCAGGTGACTACCTCTTGAAGCTCATCAAGAGGATGCAGAGTGTGTGCAAAGCAGTAATCACAGCAAAAGGTTGCTACTTTGAAGAAACTGCAATATAAGGCATATTTTCAGTTGTTTTACACTATTTTGTTTAGTACATATTTCCACATGTGTTAATTCATAATTTGATGCCTTTGCTGTGAATCTACAATGTCAATAGTCATGAAAATAAAGGAAACTCATTGAATGTGTCCAAACTTTTGGTCTGTACTGTATGTTATAATGTGGTTGTATCATTCAGAACAATGTGATTTAAGGTAAAATACTATAGCTCAGTGGTAGTGGTCCCCAACCTTTTTATTACCATGGACTGGTCAAGACTTGGCAATTTTACCATTATATCTCTTCAAAATAAGTTACAGAGTCGCCACGAAAAAAACAAAAAACATTTTACTTTCGTGAACATTTTAACTCACGATAACGACTAATGGGAGCCCTGAGCTCGTTTCTCTGCAACGCGACGCTCCCGTCTGGGAGTGATGAGAGACAATGACACCCAAAGTGTTGCTAATGCACAGGGTGCTGCTTGGTCTCTATGTGGCGAAGGAGTTTGAAGCTTCATTAGAGAGCCGGTCACTGTATTATGCAGAGCGGGCTTGGGATGTGGGAATCACCTACTGGGATAAATCCATCCTCCTCTCCCTTCTGTGGGCCTTTTCCCCTTCACAAAGAAACTTTCCAAAGATATCTGATCTGTTTCTTACTAATTTTGCTGCTTGTGGACTCAATGTTGGCGCACAAAATGTAACCAAGAGAATCCGGTTGAAGGATTTTCAAAATCAAAGATCCTCCAGACTCAAATGATACTTAAAACGGAAATATTTTATTATTTCTTGCGTGGCTCCGCACCAATTGGTCCACGGACCAGTACCGGTCCGCAGCGTTGGGGACTACTGCTATTGCTAGTTTAACCACAATTATAGTTTGTAGTGTTACTCTGCTCTGTGTGCTTGTTTTTATCAAGTATGTATTAATTAATTTACATGCTCTATAGCTGACGCCTCATGCATTGAAGACGTTGATGATTACACTGACTTTACTGATAATCATGAAGGTAACTGACGTTTTTATTTTGTTTTCTAATGGCTGAAAAAATTGAAAATTAATTATGAACACTATTACAACCTGTTTTTTTTTTGGTCCAGTCTAAAAATCCTATCTTGTAATATAAATTACAATTTTTTACCGAGGTATGTCAGTTGTTTGGGTTGTCAAATTACAGTATGACAGAGGTAAAACAAAGTTTACTATAACCAAAAATAGTCCAGAAAGGTTTCAAATTCTATTTATAAAATATGTGTGTGGATAAATCTAAATTTTAAAGTCTGTAGTTATGTTTCATCAGCTCCTTGCTCAGATTTAAGAATTGTTCCCAACTTAGTCATCAACCTGTTACTATCCACCGATTTCTCTTTTGTCACCATTGGTGTCTCTAGTGTTGGCCAGATAAACAGTCCTGCTGTCCACTATTTAAAAGGCCCATCAACATCCAGCTCTCCAAGCAGCCTGCAAGTCATTGTTAATTCAGCAGTTGGTAGTTCAGCACTTCCCAACAGCCACCAGACCACAAAACTAGCATGCATTTGTTTTCATTCTCTGTACTTAATCTGACATCTGATGTTTCCATGTGTGTGTACAGCATTTGTCATACAAAGTGTGTATTGCGGATTAGTGGTTTAGGATTCCTTTTGGGGCACTCCATTTGTAGGACTCCAAGGTCCATCCCTAAACCTCCTTATGTCCTCCATTTGTGCTCCTTGTCTTACTCACTTAAATGTTTGTTACCTCTTTCCCTTCACTGATGTAATCGGATCTCATCATCCGGTTGGACATCCCTTGAAAGGCCACTTACCATCTCCATGGTAACAGGTGGTAACCAGGTCAAGCTCTTTTTACACTGAAGCATCTGCACACTTAAACACACTCATAGAGTTTCACTAATATATACATAGTCATGTACATTTGCTGAAACTCATAATTCAAGCAAACATAAAAAAGGATATTTAAAGGTACAGAAATGTGTGTAAACATCCTGTGTCCCACTCTCCTCGTTTCCCACTAAAGGCAATAAGTGGAAGTTTGGGACATTCTTCACCTCAACAAGGTGACACATTTGAGAGCATGCCTCCGTAACAGTGTATTACATCTAGTGTGCACACGCGCACACAAACACACACGCACCAGAGTACATATACCCCCTCAAAACGCCATTATAAATCTTGCAGACAGCCATGAAAATGAAACCAGTGCAAGTAATGGTGAGATTAGACATTCACAAACATGATTAATGGGGTTTGGCTGTACCCTGTGTGTGCAGAATATTAACATTGCCATGTGTAACGGAGGACACCTAGACCAGCTACAGAAACAAAAAAACACCCAAATGCCCACTTGTAGCTTCCATTGGGTGGTTTCAATGTTTACCTTTGCATGGGTTATGGAAGCACTTGTTGTGATCTTAACACAAAGTAGGTCATGCATTAATTTAGGCAGACACTCTGCACACTGCTACATCAACTGGAAAATCTCTTGAAAACCTTTTATTTGTAGAATAGTCAACATTTTATTTCAAAAGCTTTAAAAGTTATTGATTTTTACATTGTTTTTGAAGGGTTTTGGACCAGATCAATAGCCTCTATGCAAATGATAAAGTTCACAGAGTTTGTCTCATTTTTATAGTACAAATTGCTTTTGTTAATACAGAATGCAAAGGCATCTTACAGTTACCAAGCAACAGGTACTGAATATATTTTCCAGCATTGACATGCAATTTGAAAAAATTTTGCTTTTGGTGAATTTAGAAAACAGTCTTTTTGATTCTACAGGACATTTGGTGCCTGCTTTCTGTCTCAGTTTTATTTATCTTTTTTGTTTTTGCGTTAACCTTTTTTATGCATCAGTTTAGGTAAAACCATTCAATCAAAGCGTTAGAGACTAAATTTAATGTTTAGTTTCCCACAGTGAGACTGAGAGGAATTAATTCTACTTTATCTCTATGCGGCAGTGGCATGAGAAGCATTTTGTGTGTTCCAGTGTTTTCTGTTAATGTGTAAGAAGTAACATCCCTCCATTGTTGTTTGCATCAGGAAGTGTGTGTGCACGTGTCGGCATGTGTGACTGGCTTTGCATAACATGAAACAAGTAATTGCCTCCCACAAGTTAGATAAACTGCAGCCTCTAAGTATTCAACAACCAGCTGTCTGAATATCTAAGGCACACTTAGAAGAAATGCTGCTCTGCCTTATTTTTTCTTCATTTAAAGCACTCTGTCATTTTAGTAAAAGCCTGCTTTTCTGCCTGCAGTTTACTCAAAATACTTTTTTTTTTACTGGCTGTCATTACTGAAAAGGATATATAAAGATATTTGTTGACTTACTTACACATTTGGTACTAGGATTGGCAGTAAGATATTTTTTGTATTAAAATATCAATTTCCATTGTCCCTACATCAATATCTAGTTTTTAAAGAAAATAAAAATATACCAGGCAATAACTTAGGGCAAAAAGGGTTTCTAACCACATTTTAATCTCTTTCTATTGTGCTAATTTAGCTGTTAATGTGAAGGTTTGCCATATTAACGATTTGCTGTGAAACATAGACCAATGTGCTATTGTTTTGGTTATAAGTCTGAGTGTAATCTGACCCTTGGATACAGCGTTGGAACTCTATTAAATAAGACAAGCTTGTCACCAGCTAAACAGACAAACCAATTCATTATGAAGAAACCAAACATAATACGATAAGACTGAATGTAATATAATAAATAGTATCATGTTATAACAATAATATGATAATATCATTTTATTAGTACTATCGTCTTATTGTAAACATCATAGGACAAGATGTGTACTTATTATAACTTAGACAGGAAAGGACTGTCTTTCCTGTCAGGATAGGGACCTGTTTCTGCTCCAGACTGAGCAGGGATAGGTCACGATTGCACATCAGCTTTACTGGAATTAGAAACACAAGAAATTTCAAAATACTTAAAATCATTCTATGCCTTGAGGTTTGGGATGAGTCAGCAGCGGTTTCCTCTGGTATGCCACCATATGAAGAACTTAGAACATGCCTTTTCAGGATAAACAGTGACTCATAGACTCATCAAAAACACTGCAATATAAAGAGTACACATTATATGTTAATGTACCATGTTTAAACATCTAAAAATGTCAACCACTAATATATTTATTCACATAAAATTATTTATGTGCTATAATGTGTTAATATCAGTCTGTGAAAAAGTTTCTCTCATTAGTCATTTGCAATGTCCCGAGGTGTTTGTGTGTTGTTGACAGTGGACAGGGTCACATGCTCTAGGCAAGGACATTACTGTCCAATCAGAGTAGCAGCAGGGTGCAAAGTCCTGCCCACTCACCTACCTGCTCCATGCTGACCACACCACCTGTCCTCTCCTCACACTTTTACTTTTTGACAAGTTTTTCCAGCTTGCTTGTTTTCCAAACGTTCCCATATGGTGTGCCCTGCTTGATTATCCCACATTTAGCCTCTTACTGAAATTAAAAGATCCACTTGCAGTACATATATCTAACTTAGTGAGATGTAGCCTCACGCAAAATGGTAATTAGAAGCAGAGCAGAAACAGCAGTCGCAGAGTTAATCAGTGTATGAATAAACATGAACAGGATTGCTGTGGCATAAACAGCAGCTATTGACTGATGAAAATGCATATTCAACAGCAACACTGATATGCTTTTTGCTAACAACCTCTCTATCATGTACAACGTGATTCACGGTTTGACCTGGACCGACTCCTTTTCTGCCATGTGCAGTTAGACTTGTGGCCCCTGTGAGTGGTTTGAAAAGCTGTACAGAAAGGTCATGGTCTTACCTGCTGGTGTCAGATGGAGTAGCTTGCAGCAAATTTGAAAAGCCCTGTGTCCTGACCTCTTTTTTGCAGAACATGTTATCCACAGTTTCCCTGATGTTGTAAATACTGCAGGACTTCTATATTTAGGATTGCTATAACTTGATGTAAAATAGGAAGCAACTAAAAAGTTATCTATTTTACACTTAAATCACTAGACACATCATCTGAATTATGTTGCCTACATCCAGACCAGCATTGCAATAGGTCAACAAATAGTCAGCTGCAGGACAAATCCAGATAAAAGAAATGTGTAGGAATGTCAGCGTTTGAATCTGAAGATAAAATTGTTATACCAATCCCCTAATTTTTCAAATTGGAGGCTGACCCAAACAACATATGCCATTACATATGTCTGCATAATAGTATGCCTTTCAAATTCACTTCCACAGACTAACAATTCAGGTAAAAATATAATTTAATTCAGTACTGATGTTAGATATACAGTTTTTGAATCACTAAGAGCACGCACAGTGTTTAGTAGCAAGTTGCAGTGCAGCCAAGGATGGAATTATATTTTCTTAACTGATAGTAAAAAGACACGGATGCGAATGTATATTTTTCTAAAATCTAAAAATATACGAGCTCTTCTCTTAACACTGCTGTTAAACTATTTCAGAAGCAGACATGTCATTTTTGGTGGTAAGTCATGTAGGGCCATGTTTTACATGCACCATCTGAACCCTCATCTGATAGCAGCCAAATAGTTGGTACATTCAAAAACGCCTTAGCTGCAATTGGACCTGTCAGTGATTATTGTGCCAGACTTAAGAATGAAATTTATCTTAATAGGCAATCATTTATTTCAAAACTATAGCTCATGACTTATTGAAACACACTGTTTTGTGCCATAATTTACTTACCTCCTAATAAATCATATAACAGTTCTGTTTGAAGTAAATAAAGTCTTACATTAATATTGGTAGCAGGATTTCCACAAAAACATTACCCTTTTACAAACAGAATGCTTGAATGAACTGGTATATTTATTTACCAATGAAACATTAAAACCATCATTGTCAGTATAATTCTTTTTTATCTAATTGTTTCAGTTATTGTACTTTATTTTGTTTTGTGTATTCTTCTCACAACATAAGCCATCATTAATGCTATGCTTCTTAGTGAAATTGACTGATGCTTATCAATTGATGCTGATCTATAGTTA